AAAGTAACCACCCAAACCACTAGAGACTTGTAAAAATCTAGTTGGTTGTGAATTTAAAAAGTTTTCAAACCCTCCCCTTCCATTTTTTTACGCCATATCTCAGTTAAGGAAGTATAAAAATATTATTAATAAACTAGAAACAGATTTCCTAGTTATTTATTATCCTGAGAATGCACAGCAAGGATCAGCCAAGCCACTGCAGTTCACGAGGACGTGAAGTGCAAACGCACCACAGTTGCACTGCAATAAAATCTTTATGAAGTTCTTTAGGCCATGGGGAAAGGAGGGAGTGGAGAACTGGGGATTTCTCTCCTTCCTAAGGTTTTTGTGCTATGGACTGAAACACCAGTTGTGAAAATAATGGCCTTGTGCAGGCTGAGGAGAGTGAGGGGTGCACAACTTCTTCCCTGAACTAAAACCTTCCCATGGAGAAAACAAATGAAAATGTGATAAGTAATGTGTAGACAGATAAAAATTGATCAATCTTGATATCTTCCCTCCAGAGCCTCAGTGGCTCATTTGAGTGTTTCCTTGAGCATGGGCTGAACTTTGAAATGAATTGTAGGCAGTTAATATTTAGAGTTTTATATATGTTTTCTGAATGTGGATTGAGCATTTCGGGTATTTCAAAGCAGATTTTGAATGTGTAAGAAATAGCTTTTGTGCTTGTTCTATTTATTTCAGTTAGGCTGGGGACATAGTGTCTGGAGAGCACCAGGCAGAAAGGGACCTGGGAGTCTGGATAGACAGAAAGCTGAACAGGAGCCAGCAGTGTGCTCAGGGGGCCAAGAAGGCCAATGGCATCCTGGGCTGGGTCAGGAACAGTGTGGTCAGCAGGACCAGGGCGGCGATTCTGCCCCTGGACTCGGTGCTGGTGAGGCCACACCTTGAATCCTGTGCTCAGTTCTGGGCCCCTCAGGTCAGGAGGGACATTGAGGTGCTGGAGCAGGTGCAGAGAAGAGCCCCAAGGCTGGTGAAGGGACTGGAGCACCAGTGCCATGAGGAGAGGCTGAGGGAGCTGGGGGTGTTCAGCCTGGAGAAGAGGAGGCTCAGGGGAGACCTTATCACCCTCTGCAACTCCCTGACAGGAGGTTGGAGTCAGGTGGGGGTTGGTCTCTTCTCCCAGGCAACCAGCAGCAGGACAAGAGGGCACAGACTCAAGCTCTGCCAGGGGAGGGTTAGGTTGGATCTTAGGAAGAGATTTTTTAAAGGGGGAGTGATAAGGAATGGGAATGTGCTGGCAAGGGAGGTGGTGGATTCACCATCCCTGGAGGTTTTTAGGATGAGACTGGATGTGGCACTTAGTGCCATGGTCTAGTGACCATGGCAGGAGGTTGGGACTGAATGGTCTCTAAGCTGCATTCCAATGTTTAGTTATATGAGGAAGGAATTCCTCCCTGTGAGGTGCTGAGGCACTGGCACAGGTTGCCCAGAGCAGAGAAGCTGTGGCTGCTCCATCCCTGGGAGTATTCCAGGCCAGTCTGGATGGGGCTTGGAGCAGCCTGGGCTGGTGGGAGGTGTCCCTGCCCATGGTAGGGGGTGGGATGGGATGATCTTAAAAGTCCCGCCCAACCCAAACCCTTCTGGGATTCTCTGATATTCCTTTCCTGAGACATTTTCCAAGCAATGCTCATTGCCAGCAAGTTACTTCAGTTCTCCCTCCCCAAACTGATGCAGTGATGATGGCTAACGATTTCCCCATGTCTTTGTGCCACCCTAAAACAAGTTCAGTTCTCATATTTACCAAGTTTGTTACTGACAGTTTGGGTCAGACAGATGTTATAGGATTGTGTGTGTGAGTAGCTGCAGATACTGTTGGTACCTGAACGTGGAACAGCTGCAGCTCCTTGGATTGCACAAGGACCAGAGTCTTTTAGGATTTTGCTGATGGTCAGGGCAAGCGGTGGACAGGAGTTTGGATACACCTGCACTGCTCCCAGAGCTGTGAAAGGCCAGAAGGTTCCTGAGCCAACACTTCTCATTGGAATGGCCACCAGGGGTTGCTGCAGAACGACAGACACAGAGGGTTTGTAATAGGAGAAGTTTGGAATTCCAGCTGAATCCTTAGTTTAACTTATCACACAGTTCAATTCTGACAAGATTATATTCCTTTTCAATAGTGTGGGCCTGACCAGCACTTGCAATTTTGCTCTGTTAAAAATGTAAACCCGTATTTTTTTTAGGGAATTAATAAAAAACACTCTTCTTGCTTATGTATTCCTTGTGTTTATATTTTTGATTAGCTCAATAAGCATGTGGGCATCATGGGGGGGAAAACTTAGCTTGATAATTATACACATATAACAATTCCTAAGTGGTTCAGTATGTGTTAGGAGCAAGAAAATTAAAGCAAGAAATAAAAGCCAGAAAAATACAAGGAAGAAACTTACTTTAAAGAATAGACTCAAGAGGATAAATGGCCTAAAAGCTGTGAGGGAAAAATCACTTGAAAAAATATGTTCAGGAGGATAAATAGTAGGAATTGTGTGGCATATCTGTAACGATGTAACCTCACCTAGAGGTTGAGGCTGTTTTGTTCTCTTCAGAAATGATTCTGAGGCAAAAGTGCCCCAGAATTTCTACCTCATTATCCTGAGGACTTTGGTTCTTTAGTTAGAATCCAGTCATACTTTAAGCACCTCTATTTTGTGGCTTAATTTCTATTCCTATACAATTTAGGTGAGTTAAAATGATGTTTTTGTGTCTAAGACTTGCACACTCCAATTCTGCTGAGGGGATTTGTGTCTGGAAAGCAACAGGAAAATGCAGTTGCTGATTGAGCACAGTTTTTCCATGTACTCCGTGACAAAAAAATGAGAGCTGTAATTTTTCTAAATATCAGTTACAGCCAATCAGTTACTGTGTAGATGTAGAACAAGCGGGAGAATGTGTCAAGGATTTAGCAGCAATCTGTCAGAGCTCTGCTGTGGTACTGAGGGAAGGTACAAGGGCTTCATGCAGCCAAGTCAGAGAAATGCTCATAAAACCTACAGTCACAGTCAGGGAGGTTGGAAGAGACCACACTGAGTCCTCTGGTCCACCCTCCCTGCTCAGGCAGGGCCAGCCCAGAGCACATTGCTCAGGGTTGTGTCCAGAAGGTTCTGGAGTATCTCCAGTGAGGAGAATCCATGACCTCGCTGGGCAATGTGTTCAGTGCTGTGCTCGGTGACAGGGAAGAAGGTTCTTCCTCATGTTCAGGTGGAACTTCCTGAGCTTCAGTTTTTGCTGTTCCCTCTTATTTTATTGGTTTCCCCCACTGAGCAGAGTCTGATCATCCTCTTGGCACCTCCTGCCCATGGACTTGAATCCATTCATGAGGTCCCTCTCAGTGTCTCTTCTCAAGGCAGAACAGCCCCAACTCCCTCAGGCTTTCCTCATCACTGAGGTCCCTTCAGCATTTTCCTTGGTCCTACTGCAGGAGCTCCATGTCCCTCTGGCCCTGAGGAGCCCAGAACTGGACACAACACTCCAGGTGTGACCTCACCAGGCTGAGCAGAGGGACAGGATCACCTCCCTGACCTGCTGGCAATGCTCTTCCCAATGCATCCCAGGATTCCATTGGCCTTCTTAGCCACAAGGACACACAGTTGACTCTTGGACAGCCTGTTGTCCACCAGGACTCCCAGGTCCTTCTCATGATTTACAATCCATATGGAAATAAAATAAGGAAAGAATTATTTAAAGCATATTTTATCCAGGAAAGAATTCAAATAGAGCTTTAGAAAACCAAGAAATGAGAAGTAATTTCTCTATGGCTAAGATTTAGCTATTGAGTCTCTATTACATTGTCCTGGGGGGGTAGAAGCAAGTGCCTGATGGAATTTGGGAAGGTACAGTTCCTTTCTTCATGTCCTGCTCGTGCTGCAGGGCTGCAGACCATTCTGTCTGCTGACGCTCAGCACACAGAGCCACACAAGCAGCAGTGTCCGTGTGAAATTTGAGACTATGTAGTTCCTAAGGGTGGAAAATCTATAGAAAGGTGTTAGGAACAGGACCACTTCTCATTCCTTCCTCAGGTCTAATGGTGGGATGTGGAAAAACGGAGTAATTCCTTGGATAGATAACTGCTTGTAGGAAGTTTGCTTTTAATTGTGGTTTGTGGGTTTTAAAGAGTTGGGCTGGACCTCAGAGACATCTTGTTCAAGGGCAGGAGAGCTTAGTCCTGTCCTCAGCACTCATGTAGGAAACACTCATATTCCTGATCTCAGGCCTGGCAGTAATGGGAAGGAGGAGCATATATTGGGTTAGAACTTTTTTCTTTAAGAGCCAAATGTCTTCCTCTCAAAAATCTGAGGGCAAGACTCATTAGTGCATTATTTCCAGTAGAACTGAAACCGCGGGTTTTTGTGCTTTCATCTATCATGTGAGAGGTGCCTTTGACTCTAGCACAGCTCTTCGAAACTGAAGCTAGGAGAAGTTTTAGCATCTGTGTTTGTGGGCTGTTCACTTAAAGCTCCTAAGGACATGGCAAACGTATCATGTCAAACCTCTCAAAGCAGAATTAGTTATCTCCAGAAAGAGTTCTGAGTGTGTTGTCTCAGGGTGTCACTGCATGGGTAGTAACAGCAGTAAATCTTCTGTTGGATGAAGGTATGAGCCAATATAAGCAAGCATGTTTTTCTTAGCTGCTGCTTTATCCTTCGAGGTTGATTCTTAGTGATGGACTAAAGGCTTTCCAGCAGAGGAACTCAGCATGCTGAAAAACCTGCACAGTGCAGACAAATGTGTGCACTCCACACCTCAGGAGAACCTCCACAAACCCTGTGACAGGGAAAAATGGAGCTTAATTAATGTCCAGAGGAGCTTGGGCTGAAGTCTAGGAGGACAGTACCAAGTAGTCAGGCCAGACTGGACAAGGACAAGCAGCAGAACTTGATCTCTGAAGAGCAAATGGAGTTAAATTTCCTATTTTGAAGTAGATGATTGAGTGAAAATATTCTCAGATGGATGTTTGTGTTTTCACATGTGGTGATCTGTATTTCTTCTTCCCTTGCCCACAGGAAATCCATCTTGCTTTCCTGAAATGGCTTGAGGGAAATGTAGATGCTGAAGGATTAAGAGCATCCAGCAAAGTGTCTCTTAAATTTGTTTCATCTTGTGAGTCCAAACCGGAGGTGACTCCGTCCCTCATGCCTGTCATCACGGAGATGGGAGGTTTCTCCTCAGAACATTTCAGCCTAGAGACATATCAGCAGAATCTCCAGACAAAGAAGCTGGGAAAGATCCTTCTTTTCACTGAAGTGACCACCACAACAATGAATCTCCTGGATGGGTAAGGCAGTGATTTAGACCATCCCAAATTAGCTTTGTGATTAGGAGTTCACAATATTCAGGAAGAAACTAAACACAAAATAGAGTTATTTGTGTTCACAGAGTATTAATTGATCATGTGTGAAATACTAGAGCATCAAGAGTGAGAAAATCTGAGTGTGACAATTTCTTGCTTGGGAGTGGAGTTTAATCTTTGTTCCTCTTGCAAAACGTGAAATCACTAGGAGTTACTAAATCTCAGGTTGGAGCCTGTGCACAGAGACTCTACTGTTGTATCTCATGGAAGTCTGGATCAAAAGGCGTGTGGGCAGCAGGTCAAAAGAGGTGATTCTTGCCCTCTTCTCTTGTAGGCTGACCATTCCAACCCTTAAATTCTGTGATTCTAAGTGCTCTTGGGTTTTCGATGACTGCAGAACTGTTACTCTCCTACATATTAAGGGTTGTTTATCTACATGAAGTAGTCCAAACATAATGAGGTGCTCACAGAGGTAGATTTTCAACAGTTTCTCTGTTGTGATGAGTCTTGAGCACTTGGTTTTCAGGTAAGTTGTAAACTAGCAGTCCTGGCTCTAAGTAGCTTATACAGGGAAGGTGATCCTAGGCAGATTATGATTTGAACAATAAATTTTACCTTACAGAAAGACCTTTGTTATAATAAGGTAAAATACTTGTCTCAAGTCTTGTGGTTGATGTTACTGCAAATGCTTTGTTGTCATGGCTGACAGAATAATGTAGTCCATGAGATCTGCAGTTCAGTGAAGACCTTGAGACTTCACAGATGACAACACTTCATAAATCACTGGAAATTGCTGCTGATACCTATGAGGGAGTTTCTAGTGAAGAAAAGAGTTACCAAGTTTTTAAGGTCCTTCCAGAGGAACTGATATGGATTTGTTAGGTTATGTATATGACACTTGTGTCTAATCACCAGTTCTGAATGAAAGGAAAACATATCTGAGAAAAAAAGATATTTGCTTCACTAAAAAAATAGTTAACTATTGATCCTTCACAATTCCCAGAAAGAAATGGCAGCACTGTCTATGTTATCACAAATTGCATGCTAGACTCTGTTAGGGCCATTTTACTAAGGTTTTGATGGTTTAAAATAGGCTCCAGGCACCTCAAGGACTTAATTAGTGTGATCAGTAGTAAATTTAGTGAGTAAATAGTTTAGCTAGTAGATGATAAAAAAAAAAGTTGCATTTTACTTGGGTGACTCGATTTGCATATACCTTTCCCACCAACTGAATGTCAAACTTTTGTCTCCCTTTGCGCTTCCCCAAACCTTCATCCCCCTCAGAAATGAAGACATGGAAGGAGAAAGTGGGCTGGAACTAATTTAATGGCTGAGCAACCTCACAGTAGAGAAACAGCCGGAGCCTAATAGGGGTCTTTGTCTGCATTTCCACCCTGGCTGGTAATGTGCCAGTCAAAAGTCAAGCAAGAGAAACAGGTGGAAACTATTAGACCTGTCATAAAGTTTGAAAAATTGATTCTGGAGGCTAAGTGAATAGATTGAACTTGACAGTGTTGTCCTAAAGATTCTAAGGGAAAATTCTGTAGTTTAATTTGGGATCCCTTGATTGTTCATTAGCTCTCCAGATGGCAAATCTTGGTGGTTTGGGTATTAATGTGCACACTGTACCATCCCTGGTGGAGATTTGTGTGTCCTGAGCTGACAAAGTGGGAATTCACCTGTGAGTGCCTAAAATTAAATGGCGTTGGCCTAATGGTGAAATAAAGATGTGTTTAAATGTCACACAGTTTTCAATAATCAGTATTGCCTTTCTGATTTCATGATGAAAGCTTTAGTTGGATCACAGAATTATTTAGGTTGGGACCGTCCCCTAGCACAGCTTGAGGCCATTTCTTCTCCTGTCACTAGCTGCCTGGGAGAAGAGGCCAAACTCCTCCTGGCCAGAACCTCCTTTCAAGTGGCTGTAGAGAGCAATAAGGTCACCCCTGAGCCTCGTCTGAGCCTTTAGACTTAGTCCTCTGTGGCTGTTTCTAAACCATTTCAGTTGTTTATTTCTGAAACTTAAAATTTCAACTACTTTCCAAAGATTGGAACTTTGTTTTTTCCCGAAAAAGAAATTCTTTCTGTACAAACCTTTGTCCTCAAAGCTTTCACAGACCTTTATGTTCACAGCTTGTTATCCTAGTACTACCTGAACAGGTTCACTTTGTCATTTTCTGTGTCTTCTCAGAGCATTTCTGGGACTGCAGGTTTGGTTTTGAGGCTGCATCTGGTCTAGTGATGCACATGTTACATTGTAGAGACTTACTGCACTCACAAGACTTGAGATTCCTACAGAGCCTTCTAACCTCTCTGCACACTCTAAGTGACTGAAATGGTTTCACAAGCATTTTATTAAAAACCGAACTAATTAGATCTGAATTTCACTTCTCTTTTTTATCTTATATCCCATTTCCATATTTTAGTTGGCAGAAAATTTGATTTATACCTGACTGAGCCAACATGTGATATATTCTATATGAGATGCCATTGTGGATCCCTTTTCCCCCCAATATATGAGGCACAAAGTGCTTTTGTTAGGAGGAGTTTGACACACACAAAAAAGTTGAATTTTAGTGGAAATGAAATGTGGGCTGAGGTTGCTTTCATAATTGCTGAACAGCATAGTTAAATAAAATGTCAGCGTAGGATAAACAATTTCCAAACAGCGAAAAGCTTTGAAAAAGAAAATATTTTGCATTTTTGGTACCCTAGAATCATATTGTTGAATGTAAGACTTCAACTATGGCTCTCTGATTTTGGAAAGTGACCGTTAGGCCTCATTTTATTGTAAAATCTTCATTTTAAAACTCTTGGGTTCGTTGTACTGAAATCCTGATGCTGCTCATGCAGGTCTGAGGTAGTGAGGAGGAAAAGAAGAGTGATATGGCCCTTCAGAGGCAGAAGAACACAAGCTGAGATTGACAAACTTCCTTATATCCTGGCTGAGGTTTGACTCGTCGTTCTGATCCTTGGGGTGTTTGGCTCTGTGTAAACTCAGTGGTTCTGTGCTTAGCCATTCCATGGCCTCAGTGATGTCCCTCAGCCTCCAGTTAAACTGTGTTTTTAACAAGCAAACTCAGAGAAGTTGTGGGAAATGGACTGAAATGTCATTTGGAGGTAGAAACTTGGCATTAAGGAAGCCTGTGTAAAGTATGCCACAGTCTCAGTGCTTGGTTTAGTTCTGTCTTCAGGTGTAGCTGTACCTGCTTAGAGCCTTCCCTCTCAGGGACTTGTCTCAGAATTCCACCAGATCTGTAACTACAAGACAGAATTACTATTTTTGCAGCCATTGCTCCCTGTGAGGTGCTGAGGCACTGGCACAGGTTGCCCAGAGCAGCTGTGGTTGCTCCATCCCTGGGAGTGTTCCAGGCCAGGCTGGATGGGGCTTGGAGCAGCCTGGGCTGGTGGGAGGTGTCCCTGCCTGTGGGAGAGGGTGGAACTGGATGATCTTTAAGGTCCTTCCAACCCAAACCATTCCATGATTCTGTGATAATTGTATTTCAGCACACTGAGACTATCCTTGTACATTAATAGCCTGCAAAAAATGAAGGTTTTATCACCAACATTAATTAGCAGGTTGTATAAATTAACCCCTCACAACATTCTCCCTCAAGGCTGCTGGCTGGGGAGCTGGAGGATACCGTGGTGTACAGGCAGAATGTCTTTCTCTCAGAAAATAGGTGTTGGATGTTAAAGATACATGTGCTGATCACTAGGTCACTGCATTCACATGCTGTGCACATTGTCTACTCAGCCTTTCTGCAGCCACATAACCCCAAATATTTTGGCAGTTTGGATAACCTCCTCATGCCAAGAGCTCTCAGAAGAGTTCCTATTGCCTTTAGATCCCTTGATTTTGTTTGTTAAACTGTAGGGTGGGACAGGAATGCTTTGCCTGATGAATGTCTAACGTAAAAACCAACTTAGAGACTTGTGGCAATAGATCTCATCTAATATCATCATCTTCCTTCATTCTTTACATCACTGGGGTTACTAAATTTGAAACTCCTATTTTTTAACTTGTAACATGGAAGGCTTTTTGTTCTCTAAAGAAGAATGTTAGTGCATTGATAGCTGCTTCTGTACTCCTTTTCCTTAAGGGTATTTTGTTATATTCAGTATTTTGTGCCTTCCTTTGGTGCTAAAGATCAGCTTGAATAACTGAGTAAGTTTGTTTCCCTTAAGTCCAATCGATTTCAACAGCATTTTTTGGCTGATTTAGTTGTAAATGTGTAGTATTTCATACTTAGGCCTTTCATTCCCTTATTGGTAGTGATTTGCCTCATCCAGTGTCGGAGCAATCTGACCTTCAGGCTGATAACAAAAGGTCAGGCAGGAATTTCTGTCACCCAGCCAAGAGTCTGTTCCCTTCCCTGCCTGTAGAAAAGGAGGAATTCGGAAGGTTTTGGCGCTGGTTTGGTTCTGTGCCATTCCCAGAGTCTCCTCTGCAGTACCATTTTTCATGACATACTTGCTGAAAGATTTCTGCGTTGGGATTTGTCGTGTCCTTTGCCTCGATTTTCCCTGCCTTTCTTTCCACCTGTTGCCAACAGTTCCTGAGGGCACTAAACAATCAGGTCCCTATTTTCCTGTCACGCACCTTGTGTGTCTGATTTTGCATGGAACTGCAGGCAAAACACATCCCTCTCTCTGGTTTTGTCATGTAAAATCAGGAGATTTTCTTCCTTCTGATGAAGTGGGCCCCCTGCTAGAAGGGTTTGTGTCACTGCACTGGGAGGTTTGGCATTCCCAAAGGGGATTGAGTCATAAAATCAAGATACCCGTTTTGCAGAGCAATTAACCCATGTTGAACTCTTACAGTAGATTGGATTTCCCTGCTGCTGGAAGCTCCCGAACAATGGGGCTGTGGCAGGAATACTCTCAGAGCACTCGCCGTGGTTAAATGTGAGTGGAAACCCTGTAAGGCTTCCCAGCCAAGGGCTGGAAGTGGCAGAGTTTCAGTGACATTGGCTGGTTTGTTTTACA